AGAACCGACCGCTAATTCACGATTTATGTACAAGTCAATATCCAGGCAAATAAATCACGCACTGCGACTTTATTTATTAACAAACTTCGGATATGCCTCGCAATTTTTTTCCTCCTTTTCTTTTTAACAATACTTAATCTCGTTTGTTTTTTCTTACTGTAACCCATCGAAACGCAGGTGGAGGGGGGATCATTTCAAAACCTGTAAAAGAAGACTGACACATAATATAAATCTTATTTTTAAGATATAACTATTGTGCCATGGTGCAGACAATACTTTATTACGTTAGCTTATTCGAGCACTTGTGAAGGCGGCTTTTTTTTCTCACTCGGTTTGTCCTCCTGAAGTGAACACAGAGGTCGATACTCGTGTTACACGAGCATTTGCCAGAGCGTTTGTTTTTTTCTTCTATTCGGTGTTTGTTTGGTTTTTAATTTTAACATATTTGTGACGGTATGTGTTAAAAATAAATGCAATTGCACACTGTATATTCGAACTATTGCAACCATACGGGAAAATATTTCATCACTGGGAACTAGCCCAGATGAGGCTAAATCGATCTGATTCGGCGAAATATAGTGAAGTGTACTTTAACGTTGGGGGTGGGTGTTATTTGCTTGGTTGCTATTTGTTGTGTAAAGCTCATGGTTGCTAAACTGAAAGTCCCTAGTTCGAATCCCCGGGCAGGCGAGCTTCGATAGCCGAAGACAACAACCCATCTAGGAAAGAAAACTCCCAAATCAAACAACTCATGCTAATATGGCATCACTGGGCCAATGGCCTTCCAGTAAAGGTCACCGGCCAGGGCGCAACAGTTCCTAGATGAACTTCATTGCCCGCGTGTTCGTGACCAAAGCGAGCCACCAAGATGGAGGCATCCGGCTGTGGTCAGGCAAGGAGAGTGGTAGGCGCCGCCATGGGACACTTAACCCTAGACACACTACACTGTGGTGCCCCAACGACCCTTTTTTTTTTCATTTATATTAGGGGATGTAGGAAAGAAATCTTTATTTTAAGAAAAAGAAGGGGAAAAAACGCTGAAACTTTTTTTTTAAAGAATAGACTGTATCGTATCAGTTCATGATAGTGTAAAATTATAGAATTAAAATATAAACGAAACTACAAAAGATTTTTTTAATGTGCACATCTGTTTGAATAAGCAGATCAGGATGTTGATCAGTAAACCAATTAATACATCATAAATGCCACATCAAACAAAACCGTAAAAACTGTATACAGTGTAGACACACCGAAACAAAAGTAATATTCTAAAACATAAACCTGTTAATTAATTCCAGCACTTTTTTTTTCTTCTTTGTGGACATGTGAACACAAAAAAACAGATCGTTGCTATGGATACACAAATCTAAACTGATCACCAGACTGCTTTGGCTTCAACCCCCCCCCCCCCCTCCCTTCCCCTAGTCACTTCAATTAAGCTAGGAAACCGTGTTCCTTATAGATGTCTGGATGTCGTGACTACATTCACCGCTGTCGTAAACAAGATTGGCTTTTTAAAACGAAGTTACACCCACGAAGAATGTAAGAAAATAACGTCCGCGATGACAAACGAAAAATATTTTTTTCAAAATAAACGCCCTGTTCGGAAACGAAATTTGCGTTGAAAAAGTTTCAAGAAAAAATACAACCATACAGCATTAAAATCACAAGCTGCGTCATTGTGCACTGTATTGATCGGCAGTTCTGTTTCCATTTTTATTTTCAAGAATTTTTTAAAATTATTATTCTATAAATATTATACCGTCGCATTAGTATAAACCCTATTTTATTAGTATTCTATAGCTTGCTATTACTTACTGTCATTTCTCACCTACTACCCATTAACTACAGCCGCAGTTTAAAAAATATAGTACCCATCTTTAATATTTAAAAATAAAACACTTTAAAAATAAACAGATTCGTTAAAAAATTATTTTATCAACATGAATTTTAACAGCATAGATTCAGAAGATTAAGCGCGAGGCTACGTAGGAAGTCTGGCTCAGATTTTAACCCCTTAGAAGCTGGCTTAAAACAAACGAGTTTTTAAAAAGATTTTCTCGATTGTGCAAGATTGGGGGTATGATTTGGGGCGGGAAATTACAACCCCCACGCATTTACTGGCAGAAGTCGCTAACAGGATTTAGGGCGGGAAGGGAAGCGATTTTTATCATTTCTGTCGATTCACGGTCGAGTTCTGTCGAGTCTGCGTGTGTAGTGTGCCATCTTCTAAACAACAAAAAAAAAAACAGAGAACAAAGCTCCCGATCGATGAACTCAAACACAATAAATTCGTTCAGAAATGCCCAGCCTTTTTCGCCCCGGGGAGGGCGCCGGTTGCTACTGAATTCACACGCGCAGAAAATTCAAATATTAGTTAAATAAAAGTAACTTTAAGTAGAAGAAATATGGACGCGGTTAGAAAAAATATATATTGAAGTACTCATTCAAAATGTCAGAAGTCTAGCTGATTACCATCTGGGTGGACAGAATTAGCAGGACTGAGCGTAAAGCCTGCGCTCTACAGATAAGAGAGAGAGAGCTCCTTAAATTATTTATGTCTCAGGATTTACTAGATGTTTTTACTTAAAAACCGCCAAGAAAAATTTTACGGGTTAATGAATTTACAGGCATCCGGGCTCGCCGAAACTAGTCAGGTGCACTACCAAAGCTACGTGTGGTTAACTTGCAGTAAGGAAAAGTTTGTACACACACTAATAGTGGGGTTTTGTTACATTTTATACACCCCTGTTTTCATTTCCGTCAAGGAAAAACAAACCTTTGGAGAATCACAAAAGTAAACCCATCTTTTTGTTTCGTTTGGAGAAAGCCGTGAAACAATTTCGGTAAAATCACGACAGTAGAAAAAAAATGTTAAAATTCCCTAAAGGGTTAACTGGCTGAGAGGGTTTGGGAAAAATGGTGGTAAATTCCTTCAGAACGCTCTCTTACAGACAACACAAATTAATCGCCGTAAAAGGTCAATAGGTACATTTATCACTGTTGAGGCCACGTCTAGAGCCGTTACATTCACGGCCCAATGGCTCGTGACCTTTAAGGCCCTCGGGAAAATGGTTTCAGGGATTAAGGCAGTTGCGCGTGAGGACTCACGTAATGTGTGGATATGTGAGGGTTCACTTCACGTGCTGATGTGTGAGGGTTCACTTCACGTGCCGATATGTGAGGGTTCACTTCAAGTGCCGATATGTGAGGGTTCACTTCACGTTTTAAGATGTGAGGGTACACGTCAGATGTCAAGACGTGAAGACTCACACAACGTATCGAAAAGTTACAGGAGGATTCGCGAAAATTGTTAACAGAAAGGGAATTAGAAACACAGCCAACCAAGTCGTTTTTTAACCGCCAGCACACGTGTAAAATAAACCTTATCTTAACTGTCATATGCCTACTGAAGCACTTCTAACGTAGGCCTTCTCTTCTCAACTATCATAGGCCTAATGAAGCACTACTAACGTAGGATATCTCAACTACCATAGGCCCTACTGAAGCACTACTAACGTAGGATATCTCAACTACCATAGGCCTACTGAAGCACTTCTAACGTAGGCCTTCTCTTCTCAACTATCATAGGCCTAATGAAGCACTACTAACGTAGGATATCTCAACTACCATAGGCCCTACTGAAGCACTACTAACGTAGGATATCTCAACTACCATAGGCCTACTGAAGCACTTCTAACGTAGGCCTTCTCTTCTCAACTATCATAGGCCTAATGAAGCACTACTAACGTAGGATATCTCAACTACCATAGGCCCTACTGAAGCACTACTAACGTAGGATATCTCCTCTATTAGGCCTACTGAAACACTACTAACATAGGCCTTATCTTAACTATCATAGGCCTACAGAAGCTATACTAACGTAGGATATCTCAACTATCATAGGCCTACTAAAACACTACTAACATAGGCCTTATCTTAACTATCATAGGCCTACTGAGGCTATACTAACGTAGGATATCGCAACTATCATAGGCCTCAGTTGTCAAAGTGCCTGTTGAATCTCACCTAACATCCATAAGAATCAGAAATGTCATTTAAATTGCATATCTAAATGCAGTGTGCTTTGAATGTGACAGTTTAAAATTTAAAAAATGGCCACTAACTACAAAAACATTTTGTAATCACAGAAAATTACACATTACAAGTAACAAGCCTCAGATTGCACTTGCTTGTTGTAATGTTGTAATGTAACAATTCAAATTGGAGCCTAGTAAAATATCAGACAATGGGAAACTATGTCAACTAGCAATTAAAGATTTTTTTTAAATATACAGATTTAGAAAACAGTAATCAGATGTATTTTATGTTTATGGGTGTTATGAAAAGTATAATAGCGACCTAATTTGTCAATAAAAATTGAAAACCAAAATTCTCTTGGAGTTATGTGAAACTTCCAATTTAAGCTTTTCATGCAGGCAAAAAAATCTTATTACACAGTATTAAACTCACCTCAATAGAAAACGTTAAGATTAATACACCTTTTTTTATTTAACAAGTTTATTCTTTGTATATGAATACAACTAGATTTGGTGTGGAGGGTGTAGAAGCAGAACTTGTCAATAAATTAAATTGATTAACCTTATTATGAATCTATTAGGCAATAGAAATGAGCTCACCACAACATCACATGAAATGAGTTTGGGTAATAACCAAATTTTTATTCAAATGTTGATTTAATTAGCTCTTAATTGTCTAGTACCTTAATAATAGAATGTTTATTTAAGAAGAAAATCTAAAGGATTTCAAAAATATATCTTTAAAAAAAAAATTAGCAAAGCTTAAAATTTGGATTCCTCCAAAAAATGCACACACAAATCAAAAACATATATCAGCCGCGTGCATTTTATTAGTGTGCATAGTATTTAATTATTCTGTTAGTGTTTTATCATTCAAAAAAAAAACTATGAAACATGTATCTGGTTGTGATGAAAAATGAGAGATGGCAGTTTTAAAGAAGTTATAGAAATGATTTTTACCATTATTGTTCGATGCTGATGATGATAAAAAAAAATTGGAGGTTATCACTACAAAAAAAAAAAGGAGTAAAATAATTACAATCACAAAATATCCCACATTATCTCGTAAAACCCCAAAACTAAGTAAACAAACACACACCGCTGCCTGCAAATCACAAAACATTTGGCACAGACATGCAGCCCGCATGGCATTACCACAAGATTCTGGGTTCAAATCCTGGACAGGATGAGACCACAAATCTCTAATGGGCACTTACTCAGGGGACATAAGGTCCACCCTGCCTTAATTAAGCTGTGACCACTAACGTTTGTTAGGTCCAATCTTTGTACTGTTTTAAAAGCAACATTTATTATGGAGTTTCTCTCTCTACTACAAACTAAAGGACCTATATAACGCTAAACCTGAAACTTTTCTGATATCCTTTTTTTTAAATTTATATTTGTGGTGATTGTTACATTTATGAAAAACTGTGAAATTAAAGTAAAATGTGTTAAATAAAGGCTACCTAAAAATTAATGCCTAAATTTGTTCAAACATTTTTGACCCATTTAAGATCAAATAAAAACCCTCAAAGCAGCAATAATTTATAATGTCATCACAGGATAATGATGTAAAGAAATTAATTAAGCATAAGAATAGTCTCGTCAGAAATTACATTTTTTTTAAAGATAAAAATAGCTATTTTAATAATTATGTAACTACAAAAGTTTAATTAACTAAGGTGATTAAAAAGCATTTTTTGAAATAGCATTGAGTGAAAAAAATGAGTTCACTGACCTCTGGCCGACAATTTCTTAGTGTTAATAATTTTTGCAGCAAATTCTAATCCAGTGGCCTTTTGCACACATCTTCTCACAATAGAGAATGCACCTCTGTGGAAATTATAATATGTAATTCATTAGCACTCTGGCACTCAACAATCATACATAATTCAGCAGGTGAATTATAATAATCATTAGATCAGTTAACAGCAGGAGTTGACCAAAAATAATACAAGAGAATAAATATTTTGTTCGCAATGCTAAAGATACACAAGACAAATGTTACATGCACCATAAAGCAGAAATCCAAAAAGTCGAGATGTATAAAATTAATTTTTTGATGTTGAATGTAATTACTGAAACCGTGATAGAACAAATCACTCCAACTTATTAAATGTAGCTTAGATATAAAACTTTGACAATAAAATGTACAATTACACAATAGAAAAATGCCTGGACTAATAACTGAAATTGTAATCAAAGCCACATAAAAATTCCAATGTTGTCCTCATTTTCTCGTTCAGATACCACAGTCGTCATGTAAATTATTTCTGTACATGTTTCTATTTTCGTTGCTCTCCGGCAATTATTTTTTTAAGAAGATCTTGACATAAAGCTGGCACCATCATACAACAACTCTTAGACAAGAACATTCTAGAAACATTTTTACTTTAACACGCAAGTCATCATGTACTGTTACAGACACAGTCACATATCACAAAATATATTGCTTGTGTAACTATGTTCGCAATGTTCATCTTGCAAAACAAAATTTACCAAAGCTTGTACATATTCCATTAAAATTTGGCAAATAGTTTTAGTGCAAAACTGAACAACCATATCCCAATTTATGCAAACGCTTGACTTCATCATACCAGCTGTAAGAGAGACCTGAAAGAACCTTTCAGTTTGCGAAAGAACATTCTAAATTATAGATTGAAAATAGCAATTTTTAAACAAATACTGAGACAAACGGAACTTTAATGGCATCTTTAATTCAAGATAATAACTCGTTGACAGTCGAAAATGTACTAAACTTCCATACAACACAAAATAAACTATCAATAATGTCACTATAGACATAAAACATTTTTAGTATTACAACTACATATTCAAAAAGATGTCAAAATAATAACAGGAAACCGCCTTACAAGTTAAATCAAAATTTATTAGTCAAAATTTTATTTTGAGTTTGATGTAACTTTTTTTTTATAATTTGTACTAACTGTCAATGTATCCTAACCTAGAATGTGTCAACAATACAACTGTCAACAAAAACAAGCCTAACAAGTCCTTCACAATGAATTAAGCTGGTGTAAAGTAAAAAAACTGAAGTGGAAACAAAGGGAATGTCAAAACAACTAGGACATTTACTGCTAAACAAATCTAGGCATGTAAAGAAAGAAATTTACCAAAAGCTTGAGTTTTTAAAGAAAAGTTAATCCTTGCAGCAGTAAGTGTTTTCACACAATTGGTTTTTAAATACCTACTGAAATTTTGTTTAAATAGTACACACATTATTTTAAAAAACTTAACTAGTATTAACTAGATCTATATTTAAAAATTCAGTTTGATATAATTAATAAGACCTTTTTATTTTTTTTATAGTACACACATTATTTTAAAAAACTTAACTAGTATTAACTAGGTCTATATTTAAAAATTCAGTTTGATATAATTAATAAGACCTTTTTATTTTTTGTTTATCTAAGTTACGGGACTTAAGGGAAAATATTTGCTCTTAAGTTTTTGTAACAGATAACACTCAAAAAAATAAATTCAAATTTTCCAAATGTTGTATGGTGCACTACTAGTGAATTTAATGGTATTTCAACATAAATTTCAAAAAAAAAAAAATTATGTTATATATATATATGTGTTTTTTCTGTTACAAAAACTAGCCAGCTGAGTCTATTAGATATTGTAAAAGAAGGATCAAGGCAGACGCGGTGTGACCCTCCCGACGCCAGGGACAAACTTTCAATCTGGCGCCTCCCATCTATTTTTTATGTTTATAATTCAAAACTGCAGCTAAAATGAGCTTTTAATTTTTTTCCAAACCATTTTGGTGCCCCTACGCCCCCCCCCCCTCGCTGCTATGCCTCAGGATCAAGGGCCGCTATTGCCAAGGCAATCATACTTTCAGAAGAGATACTGATGCATGCAAAAAATTTCCTTTAAGTGCCTAATAACTAATTAAAGCTTATTAATTAAGAAGTTTGTTTTTCCAGCTTAACATTATCCAAGTTAAATTATGTAAGAGAACATTTTTTAAACAAATAAGTACTAATGACAAGCATATAAACTTCACATTGTCATTTGTATGTTGATCATGAAACTTAATAAAGAGATGAACAATGAGAATGAATTGATTTTGATTTATTTTAACTAATCTGCAGAATCCCCCAGCATATGCCAAAAAACACTTAGATTAGGGTAGAAATAAAGATATTGGTGACATGCCAAAGCTATAATCAGAGTCAAATAGAGTTTTATGCTATTTTTATTATTATTTCAAAAGAAAAAGAAGGATGTATTAAACTCCATTTTATTTCATTAAACCAACACACATTACTTCCTTCTACCTAATTTCTGGAAAAAAAAAACCCAACAGGACTGACTAGTTGATGCTAGCAGTTATAACAATGATTTAATTTCAGTGTTCAGTAAAGTGTTTAAACTTTAAAGGTTAAGAGACACAGCTTTTGTGACTTAAAATGTAAAAGTTTGACTCCCCAAAATTACATTTTATTTTGTATTCATTATACCCTATACCTGCTATATGAATGTGTATGGTAAATTTACATGAACTAACTAAATGAATTACCACTTTGTGGATTCATTTGTTTCACTATAATAACCTTAATCTTTTTTGAGTTCCTATAAAAATGAATATGGAGGAAGATTGTTCCCTATTAAGGTTTTGCTTCTGTCTGAATCTCTGTTAGTATACCAATACTATAAAAATAGCTTTGAAGAGCCCATATGACTTAATTAATAACATCTTTATATTATCACAATATTACATTATTATTACATTACTATATGTTTACTGTGCTTGCATGCCCAAACAAAGCACACACAGTACACAGCATATTTTTGTGTTGTAACCAATTACTCATTGATCAGCTGAATGCTTGTCAGAGGCTGTATTAAACATGTAGAACACATGTTAATGCCTCTGTTCTTCTGTATTGTCTGAACCTGACCAATGTAACCTACTTTAATGTGATGTTATGAAATACAGAACTATCTGTGTGTAGTTGAGTAGTAGGCTAGACAGACCCAAAGAAACCTTCTTACCAACCTGCTTACATTATTTCTAAATTCATGACCTTATTTATGGACCATAATTGATGGGAAATAAGCTTACAATAAAATAAGATTTATTAAGTTGCATTACTATGACTTTATTCCAGGATTAGGCAGTGGATTTCTTATACCAATGTCCGATAATGGCACAAAAATAGATTCTTCTTCAAAAGGGGGTGTTAGGTTACTGGTAGTTAACTAAGTACACGTTTGACTGGCTAATGTTAATCTCTAACCCCATCCCTAGTCCTACCATACACCTCAGACTAGACCTAACCTAATTTCGAACTATTAAATTACATTGGTGATCACAAACTGAAACTACCAACAACCTAACACTCTTTTTTGCAGAAGAGTCTACTATTATTGGACAATGTTTTCCTGTATCATCTTTTTAGGCTTATAATATAAAGTAACTTTGTTTTACTACTTGATCTAGATCTAGTTATCTAAATATAATAGACAGATCTAGGCTTAATGGATAGAAAATGGGCAGATTTAATTGATAGGTCGCGGGGCAAATGAATCTTCTATGACCACTCCACAACAAGATCAATATATCTAGAATTTCTAGATTCTACATCTACATCTAGAATTTAGAATCTATAATTAGGCCTATTGCTATTCTTATATTCGGCTAAGCTACTCAGACTCAGGGTGTTCAAATAGACTCCATAAAGCAAAAATAGATCAATGACTTTTGAAAGCTACAAGATCTAGATCTACCCACAAGCCAAACAACACTGGGCCAACACACCATGACCAACCAAAGGACGAGAGTCCTGAGAACTGGTAGGATCCTGGAGCAATCAAGGGGCTATTGTTGCTGAATAGATTTGCTGCTTAAAAAAGTGTAAAGACGTAGGAAAATAAAGGAGCTATCTGCATTAATACACGTTTGGTAACAATAGTAACATACGATCACATAAAGATATAAAACCCTTTACGTTTAACTGCTGTTGGAGAGAAAACATGAAAGTGTGTTGGGATCGGTAGTGTACACAGTAGTCTGTACAGCAGACGACTCAACACGCAACTGCTGCATTCATCAAGTACCGAGCTAAGAGTCGAGGGAGAAAACGTCTCAACGCACAAGATTAAAAAGGCAGGATTGTGAAATTAGCAAATTAACATGTGCAATAGACTTTCTTAAAAGTAATAGACAAAAGAAAAAGATCTACTTACTTTCCTAACTCTTCTTTTAATTCGTAAATATCGCTAAACTTGGCGGTAGACGTCTGGGCCGCCATATTGAATGTTAAATGACTTCATAACATCACTCTCGGAATATCTCGATCTCGCCGGCTTAGCTGGCGCGAGATTCGCTGAACGAGTTATGGTGTTGGTCGGTCGATACTCCGATGGGAATACCCCCTCTCCACGTTTCCTAGTCTGTGGTGGAAATAATGCATTTGACAGTGTAGAAAAACTACTGAAGTAGAACATAGTCTGAATAGGAAGGATGTTTGATTCCTATTTATCCCCCTTCCCCAACCAAGAATCAATAACCCCATGTCTGCATTTAAGAGCTATGATGTGTGTATACACTTTACTCAGCATTGTGGCAAGCGAGGCTGCAGACATCACTGATGATCTGCAGGAGAGTTGACGCCCGAACCGATTCAATGAATATTTCAAACGGATGTAATTAATGGATTTTGCTTTTGAAATAAAATAATGCCTGAATGTACTTCCACCCCAGTTAGACAGTTTTAAGCAATGAAGACCGGGTAAAAGGCCATACCTAGGCTTTGCCTTCCTAATTTAAAAAAAATAGTAAGTAATGCAGGTGAAATAGTGAATAGCAAAGAGCAATCGACTGAGGTGTACAGAACTCGACTGAGGCCTTTTGTTCTGGTCTATTGGGCCAACTCACTAGGCATTTATTTAAAGACTTTAAAATAGCTGCGGAACAACACTTGGTGGTTCAAGAAAAAGATATTGCAAACAACCAACACGTTTAAAAATGCATTCACGAACTGAAGTTAAAAAGTGGACGGATCGGAGTAATAAAGTAGATTAGTTCTCTAGGCACTGACCTGCAGAGCCGGCGTTAGGAATACGCGGGGCCTAGGGCCAACCATCCGCGCGGGGCCTTTCCATTATATATATATATATATATATATATATATATATATACATACATATATATATATATATATATATATATATATATATATATATATATATATATATATATATATATATATATATATATATATACATATATATATATATAAAGGCCTATATAATGTGATGTACACATAATAACACAAATGTTTTGGAGTTTATAAGCTAATGTCAAACTTTCCACTATAATAACAGATTTTTATCTCTCCCATGTATTAACCCAATGTTCGTAGTTTTTTTTTTCCTTTGCTAAGATATTAAATCACTTTTGACAGTTATGTAATTCATACCAAATCACTTAAGAAAATTTAATCACGTGCCGAATAATTAGGAAAATAAAGTTTACAATACAGCGAACTCGGCCTGATGTATCAAAACAGTATAGACTTCAAAATTTGTTTAGAATTCATACAATATTTTAAAACCAAAAACATTATTGTCTTAATTATTGAACGGGTGAATCCTTAAGGTGGCACAACATAACAACAGTTTTAACTTTCTTCCAAAAAAAAATAAATCACTCTGTTTAATGCCGCTTGATATAGATCCTAAGGCGCCCCCCCCCCTCGTCGCCCTCCTCCCACCCCTCTGCACGCAACTGATTGTTAACTTTGTTATACCAAGACAAGTAGACCTACATATAGAGTTTCTTCGGGGGGGGGGGGGTGAAGAAAATCTACCGCCCCTCTCCCCCCCCCCCCCCGAAAATTTCAAGTGCCCCTCCCACCTGGAGAAAAAAGTCTGGAAGAAACACTGTACATATACGACATTATACGACATCTACAACGGTCTACTACAGACATCCCGTCTGCTCACTAAAAGGACGTCTTCATGGGTCCGCATACAATAGGGTATCTCTTTACATCGTGGGCTAAATCTCGACCGCCATCTCCAGTCAGCTCAGGTCAAATGCCAGGCGACCGTACCCTACACAAAGGGAAGGCGTGACACTCTTTTTGTATCGAATTACGGCCTGTCCCAGTTCAGGTGGGACTCACCAACATCAACTGTGGCCTCGGTTATAACAATCAACAACGTTGGTATTCGACCATTTAGTTTTTCCCAATTGAATTCAGCAACAATTTTTCTTAAGTTTACAAACTAATTCAGACAACAATGACATTGCTGAAGCGCGGGGCCCCTTCAAGCGCGGGGCCTATGGCGACCGCCCCGTTCGCCACCCCCTAACGCCGGCTCTGCTGACCTGAAGCAAATGTTATGAAGGCCTAGATTTCTGAAGTCAGAAGACTATGTATCGTCCATTGCCATGTTGGATACGTTTGCAATCACCTTAGACAGTAGCGTTTGCTGTGGCTACACTATACCATATATGTGGTTGAATTATAAAATCTATTGACAATGACACAGAAGAGAAGATGGGTCTGTTGTCCTTTTAAGGCATAATAACTAACTTAAATAGGCGATGCCACTGCCAGTGATTGTATACAGTGGGGGTGGGCGAATCCATGATTTACTTTCAGAATGTGACTCCCCTACTTGTATCTGCTGCAGATCATGCCCTTTCTAGCAGGTATAGGCGCTACCGCCTGTGAAAACTCCTCGGACAGTAGATTAACTGCAGAATGTGATTCCCCTACTAGAAATAGTACCCGCTGGAGTGACGCCGTTTCTAAAATTTATAGGCTCTACCTTCTTGGGATACTCATCTGACTGTAGATTAACTACAGAATGTGGTACCCCTACTAGAAATAGTACCCGCTGGAGTGACGCCCTTTCTAAAATTTATAGGCTCTACCTTTTTGGGATACTCCTCTGAATATAGATTAAATACAGAATGTGGTTCCCCTACTATAAATAGTACTACAGTACCTGCTGGAGTGACGCCCTTTCTAGCATTTATAGGCTCTACCTTCTTGGGATACTCCTCTGAATGTAGAATAACTACAGAATGTGGTTCCCCTACTAGTCATAGTACCCACTGGATGGGAAGCCACTAGCGATGAGATTATGAACCCTGTGTTAAACAGCTTAGTCTGAGAGGTTTGGTCTTGTCAAAGTTGATCAAGAGTGGGATTAATATCAGAAGGAACTAATGGAATGAATTAACTACCACAGTCGTGCACAGATGACGATAGCTTTCTGCAGATAAAAATAGATTGAGTTACCGTTGTTGTTTTTTTTTAAATGCCAGTGTTGCAAAGTAAACAGGATCTCCTACAGGCATTTGTGGGAATTTTCCTAGCATGAAAACAGATTGTTTAATTTGGGAAGAACTTAGACGCACTGAAATTTACCTTTCTTTTCAACCTAAGAGATTTGTTAAATATTGCTCCAAGTTTTTTACGAGATATTAATTTGACTTTATCAATTGATTGACACGTTTTTATGAAAAAGGTGGTGGGTTAATAGCTTTATGTGGGTTTTTTTTTTTCAATGAACGCTGTACAAATAAAGCCTAAAAATACAGAAACTTCGTAACTGCCATCTTTGTCTTTGTCGTTTTGTAAATGGTACACTACGATATGCTAATGGATCATTTGACAATCAACACCTCCCCCATAATGACCGGCCTGTAAATAGTTCCTGCCCTACCCATCCCTGCCTACAGGTGGTACCTGCCCCACCCATGCCTGTCTACAGTGGTACCTGCCCTACCCGTGCCTGCCTACAGGTGGTACCTGCCCCACCCATGCCTGCTAACAGGTAGTACCTGCCCTACCCATGCCTGCCGACAGGTGGTACCTGCCCCACCCATGCCTGCTAACAGGTAGTACCTGCCCCACCCATGCCTGCTTACAGGTAGTACCTGCCCTACCCACGCCTGCTTACAGGCGGTACCTGCACCACCCACGCCTGCTTACATGCCTTCCTACAGGCGGTACCTGCCCCACCCATGCCTGCTTACAGGTGGTACCTGCCCCACCCATGCCTGCTTACAGGTGGTACCTGCCCCACCCATGCCTGCTTACAGGTAGTACCTGCCCCACCCATGCCTGCTTACAGGCGGTACCTGCACCACACACGCCTGCTTACATTACTGCCTACAGGTGGTACCTGCCCCCCCCCCGCCTGCTTACAGGTCGTACCTGCCCTACCCATGCCTACCTACAGGTGGTACCTGCCCCACCCACGCCTGCCTACAAGTGGTACCTGCCCCACCCACGCCTGCCTACAAGTGGTACCTGTCCTACCCATGCCTGCCTGAGTACCATTAAACCTTAAGAGTCATCTGCAGCAAGCGTCAACAACGTACATCAAGTTGAGTGGGTAGAAATTTTTTTAGAAAACTATTGTTTTATGTTCTCTATCTTTCAAGGTCTCAGAAAACCATTTTTAAAATCAGATTGTGAATAGTAGAAAAACGTAGCCCTACATTAACGAGACCCCATTGTCTGCGTACTTCTCCCTACATTTACTGTAGTAGGGATTCTATTTCGGCGACAGTACATATTCTTAATTTTGTTCCAAACCAGTTATCTCAGAGAAGAAACTAATCAAAGATCCCAAAATAGTTGATCAAATGAAGTGTCCCTAATTACTTTCCTTTTAAAATCTAGCCACCTCCCTATCTCTTTAATCAAAGCCTCGTCTTCCTTCCGCCCTTAAATTGAAGTCTTGCTTTACTTGAAGGCTAGAAGTACTTCCCCAAGCCCCCTACTAGGTCCTGCCCACTTCCGGCTTTACTTGGAAACGTAGACGTTCTTTTCAGCCAACAAATGACAAGTGAAATTATAGGTCTTCATGAATTGAAATATATAGAGCCTAAATATAATCAACTGTTTATAATCAATTTAAGAATCCACCGAGAACTATAGAAATACTACCAACTTATTTGCAGCACATTTTTAAAAATGTTCCTTAAGTCAACTTACAATTTGTATATACACCAACATAAAATGCTAGGGAAAATACAAGAAATATATAGGCCAGTCATTATGGGGCAACTGTTATTCCGTTTTAAGTTGATATCAGCATAAATAATTCAATATAATGTGATTTTTTTTATATAAAACCAAAACTTGGGAATGCATTGACGAGCAAAAAACAGCCCCAAAAATTGCGAAATAGCTTTGTCTCCACTTTCTTCTATTTCATAAAACCCAAACTTGGGAACAAGTCCTGGAACAAACAAAATCCCGAAACATTGCGTAAACTTTCCAGTGCCAGATTAAAAACCTTACGACATGTGGAGCACAGACGGAATATGCAAACTAGCCTTTCTGTCAAAGACGGGGCATAATAGAAGACAAAT